AGAGCCCCATTTCTAAGGAACCCTTGTCCCCTAACCTCTGGAAACAGCAGCCCAGGATCCACACTCTCCCGGTGCCAGGAACAAAGCCCTTGATAAAGTTGGGGACTCACTCACGTAGTCAGTGGTGAGGGGTATAGAGGGGGCTGGGGTACCACTTGGCCCCAGTGGTGTCCTCACTGACCCACAGCAGAGAGGAGGACCCTCAATCCCAGTGGGTGATACAGGGACAGGGCCGGGAAGGCAGAGGATTTGGGCTGAGGCTATGACTTGGTCAGGGACTGGAGAAGAGGAGGTGGCAGGTCAGGGTCTTGGCAGGAGGAGCTCAGAGAACTGAGGCCCCAACCTGGCCAGCAAGAACAGGTGGGAGGCCCTAGACAAGGCGGGTGACATGGCAATCGCTGGGCTGGTCCAGAAACAGGGTGCTGAAGACATCGTTGAAGAAGCTGGGGTGGTACCTGCAGGCTCGCTCACAGTCTGGGTTGAAGTTCACCTCCAGGATCTGGGGCTGCATCACCCGCTTTCCATCAGGGCGGCTGTCCCACTTCAGCATGAGGTCAATGGCGTACACGGCCCGGGATGCGGGGTAGTCGCAGAGGCCCTGGGGTGGTGGCTTGGCACATGCCACCTGGAACAGCTCCATGATGGCCCGGAAGATCTCAGCCTGGACACCACTCCAGGGGAACTCTGGGTATTGCTTCTCAAACTCAGGGATGAATTCATTGTAGTGTACCTGCTTCAGCACCACGTCTGGGTCGTAGTTCATGACGGTGAAGTGTTTCTCATAGTCGTCAAGGTCGTCAAGTGAGAAGGGCCGGTTGGAGAAGCGTAGCCAGAACACGTCATAGGCAAACAGCTGCAGCGGCTTCACAGAGCGCAGCAGCACCACATAGCGGACATCGAACTTGACGCTGCCCACGTCTTCTCTAAGGAACAGGACCGGGCTTTCGATGTACTTGGATACCACCTTGGGAGTGCACTCCCGGTGCCGGATGATGCTGGGGAGGCTCCTGGTGACATGGGTGTCCAGGCTGCGGGCCAGGTTCCAGGGCTTGCAGATCCAGTGGTTGTCCTCCCCCCGCCTCTCCCGCTGCTGGAAGTAGCTGACAAACTGGGGCAGCTCCGTGCGCAGGTTGAAGGTCCGGGGCAACCAGGGGGGGGGGCCCTCGGGGCCCCCTGCCCGGCGTGCGATGGAAGCCAGGCAGTCCTTCACGGTCAGCAGGTTCTCGCAGGGGAACTGGTTCAGCAGCACCTGCGGCCGCTCCTGGCTGAGGCTCCTGTAGTCCTTGAAGTGGGAGAAGTGGTAGAGGATGTCGGCGTCTGCCTCGCTCGGGGTGAAGGTGAAGCGTGGGTGGGTGAGGTGGCTGAGCACCTGCTGCACGTCCGTGTGGACCTTGAAGACGTGGTCATGGGGATGGGCTGCAGGGCTGATGGCAAGTGGCAGTTTCTCCTTGTTCTCCTCCAGAATGGCCTGGTAGTACTCGGCGGCTCGGGCGTGGAGGAGCTGAGGTCCGACATGTTGGTGGGGGCCCAGGGCAGCAGCATGCATTTCCGGATCAGAGGGTCTGCCTCTCCGTAGGCAAAGTCCCGGGTCACCTCCTCGCCTGTGTCCAAGTCCCTCAGCGGCCACAGCAGCGTGTAGGCCACTTGCTGGGGCATGTAGAAGAAGGGTGCCGTGGCGAAGCTGGGCACGTCTGCGTGCTGGATCCGCGAGCCAAACTCGTCCATGTTGTACCACACCGGCACCTTCTCCTCAGCTGTCCCATGAGCCACCTGGTAGGTCTGGTTGAACTTCCACATATCTTCTAGCACCAGGGCCACAGCCTCCAGGCTGGGCAGCTCACTATGAAACTCGATGCCCATCAAGGAGGCCATGCGGTGCAGCAGCCCTGGCACCTGCTGTTGCTGCTGGCGGGCATGCTCCACGCGACACGTCCAGGCGTGGTCGATGAGGAAGATGCTGTTGGTGTCTGCGGCCCGAAGCCCGCTCTCACTGGTCACGATGACCTTGTAGCACAGTTCACTCCCGGGGTTGGGCTGCTTCCTTCGTGCCTCCCCGGCAGCTGGATCCTCCTCCTCTTCCACCTCCTCCACCTGCATTATCCCGAACATCTCCCCGGCGTCGAAGACCTCGAGCTCCAGCTTGTGCAGCAGGCGGCCCCAGTACCGCTCCGGGACGCCCGAGGCGCGCAGCGCCGGGCCGTGCAGCGCCGCGAACTCGGCCAGGGCCCGCGCGCCTTCCTCTGGTGTCCGGCCCGGGCTGCCGCGCTCCGGCCCCGGCTCGGCTTCCATGGCGCCTAGGCCCGAGCCAGAGCCAGCGCAAATGTGGAGCCGCCGCCCCCGGGCCGGGCCCGCCAGCCAAGCCGCCGCCGCTCCGCCTCCGCTCTGCCTCCGCTCTCAGGTATTTTGAATAAAGCAAGAAAGAGTACATTGGAGCCAAGCTAAGGAGAAGCCATTCAAATGACGCAAGGGGTCAGGTTTCAAGGGGTTGAGTCTAGCTTCCTTATGTCTGCTGTCAGCAGGTTGATTGACATCTAGGAAGTCCATACCCAAAGGGAGAGCAAGAGAAGGGTACACACAAAGTGTTTCCATAGAACATTCTATCCCAAATAGGGCAAAGGGATAATATCACAAAAGAACAGGTGAGCCTAGCTCAGTCCATGGGGTGACACATCTACATCTAAAGATGCATCCTCAAACTTCCAGGACTGGGGCAATGTCCAGGTCACTATGAGATGTAGTGATGGTCAAAGCCTCTCCGCTCTGGGACAGAGAACACGAATCATTCAAAGTGACTTCCCACAAGTGTTGCTAAGCAAATAAAAAATAGAATCAAATTAAACATTAGAAATCAATCAAAATGGCAAGAATTCATACATATCTATCTTCTCTTTATAGGAATTTAAGTGGTCACATCATCCATTGAAATATGGATGCTGTTACAAAGTGTTAAAAAAAATAAGACCTCATTGTATGGTGTCTGTATGACCCTTGACACAGGCAAAAGTATTCAAAGGCAAGTGAAAGAATGGAAAATTATATTCCATGTAAACAGAACCCTAAAGTAAGTAGGACTAGCTACTCATATCCGACTTAGTTGACTTCAAGCCAAAATTACTCAGAAGAGAAAATCTACACTGGTAAAGAGAACAATCCAAACCAAGAGAAAACAGAGTACATATTTATACTCTAAATGTCAGTGCACCTAATTACATATAATAGATACTGCTTGACCTAAAGACTCAGATAGGCCACCGCAGTATAATAATACTAGGTGGTTTCAACACAATTTTCACATAGATAGGGCATTCAGGTATAAACTCGTAAAAGATTCTTCAGGCCTAAAAATTTATTCATATGTACCCAGCAGATATCTTTAGAATATTTCAGCCAACAATAATCAAATTCACGTTACTTTTAGCTGCTCATGGAAGCTTCTCCAAAATGGATCATATATTGCATCAAATAACAAGTCTTAGCAAATAAAAAAAATAATTATTTTCATCTTATCAGATCATAATGTAATCAATACAAATCCACAGCAATAAAAACTATAGAAACTATATAAACACACTGAGATTGAGCAATACACTTTGGACATTTTAACAAGTGATAGAAAATATCAGGGGAGAACTTTTAAAAATCAACTGAAAAGAAATATATCACAATCTCTAGGAGACTAAGAAGGCAGCTGTCAGAAGAAAGTTTATGAGTATCAACATTAAAAAATCTCAAATAAGCAATCTCTACATTGAAAATTAACAACACTGAGGAAAAATATTGAGAAGCCAGTAAAAGATGAAAAGCTTTCCCATGTTCATGGATATACAGAATTAGTATTGCTAAAATGGCCATATTACCAAAAGCAATCTACTGATTCAATGCAGTCCCAATCAAAATTCAATTACATTATTCATAGCAAACAAACAAACAAAAAAACTCCCACAAAGACAGTCCCAAAACTATTCTAAGAAAAAAATTCTGGAAGCATCACAATACCTGTCTTCAAATTATACTCCAAACCTATAGTAACAAAAACTGCATGGTACTGAAATAAGAATAGATGCATAGATCAATGCAACCGAATAGAATATAGAGAGACAAATCCAGACAGATGTTGTCTGTCATCTGATCTTTGACAAAAGCACCAAAAACATACATGAAAGAAATAACAGCCTTTTAAATAAATGGTGTTGGGAAAAACGAATATCCAAGGTAGAAGAATGAAAGAACATTTCAATATCTCACCCTGTACAAAAGTCAATTTGAAATGGAAATAAAACCCAGGAATTACAACAAAAACTTTGAAATTGCTAGAAGAAAACAGGGTAAAACTCTTCCATATAAGCAAAGAGAATGACTTTCTCTATAGGATTCCTAAAGCTCAGGGCATAATACCAAGAATTAATAAAATGTATGGCATCAAAGTGAGAAGGTTCTGAACAGCAAAGGAAATTATTCAAACCATAAAGAGAGAGCCTACAGAATGAGAGAAAATCTTTGCCAGATACTCTTCCAACAAGATAAGTATTCAGAATATATAAAGAAATAAAAAACTTAACACCAAAACCAAAAACAAAACAAAACAAAAAAAACCCCATCAATAAATGGTTAAATGAGCCAGGCTTGGTGGTACAAGACAGTAATCCCATGGCTCTGATGCTAGGCAGGATTGTGAGTTCAAACCCAGCCTCAGCAACTTATCAAGGCCCTAAGCAACACATTGAGACCTTATCTGTAAATAAAATATTTTAAAACGGGTGGGGATGAGGCTCAGTGCTTAAGTGTCTCTGGGTTCAATCCCTGGTACCACACCCCCAAAAGCTAAATGAACCAAATAAATACTTCTCAAAGGAAGAAATACAAATGGCTTTTAAAAATGTTCAACATCTTTTGCTACAGGGATTTGCATTCAGGAAAATAAAAATCAATACTACGCTGAAATCTTGTCTTAATCTAGTAAGAATGATAGTCATCAAGAATACAAATAATAATAATACTGATGAGGTTGTGGAAAAAAGATTTATTCAGTGTCAGTGGGACTGTAAATTAGTACAACCACTACGGAAATCAGTATGGAGGCTGATTCAAAAGTCCAGGAATGGAAACAACATAATACTCAGTTATGCTACTCTTTATGATTTATCCAAAAGAATTAAAGGGAACATACTATAGTAACACATGTATATCACTGTTCATTACAGCACAATTCACAATAGACAAATTATGGAGCCACGCTAGATGCCTGCCAATAGATGAATGGATGAAGAAAATGTGGTATATACACAAAATGGTGTTTTATTCAGCCACAAAGAAGAATGAATTATGCCATTTGCAGGGGAATGAATGGAACTTGAGAAGTTTGTTAAGTCAAAATGCCACACTCAGAAGGGATGGGAAAGTAATGGAATTAGAATGGAGACCAGTAGAGGAAGGAAAGTGACTAGTGGGAGAGTGGAGGTAAGAGAATGATGAGTTACTAAGAAATGAAATTGACCAAATTAAATTGTGCACATATATGAATATGTAATAAGGAATACCACTCATTGTTTAACTGTACATTTTTAAAATGAAATTTTAAAATAATAAAGATTGCATTCAGGAAAATGCAAATCAAAACTGTACATATATATACAAGTACAAACGCAAAATGCTGAAAGCTAATTTCATTTTGAGGAGGGTCACAAGGATTACTGCTCTCCAGACCCATTTCCCTCATTCCATTGTGGGATAGTGGTTCAATTTCCCCTAAATAGTCAGCATCCATCATTTCAGCCAGCACAGTAAGTCTGTTGATTGGCTGTTGGTTTGGCCTAACTTTCAGTTCAATGTGTCTTGTGGTGGCAGTATTCCTGCCTGTGGATGTTAGAACTCAAGCCAGCAAAACACAAAGGTACTGGTACAGGAAGCATAAATTTTGCCAATAAGTCCCTAGAGGCAAGAGAGCATGTGGCCACTTCATTTCCAATTTGATTCCTGGCCTGAGAGAAATAGCACTATATATTGGACAATGATTCAGAGCATACTCAAGCTTATGGAAAACCTTGCCCTTGCCCTGCAAGGTAGTGCAAGCTTGTTAGCACTGTAACTGACTTCAAAAAACCCTTCCACCATTCTACCAAGACACCTGCTTCAGGATGGTGGGAAGCATGGTAAGACATTCATGAGCACCAACCCATTGCTTTACTTCTTTGGATGTGAAGTAACTTCCTTGATCAGAAGCAATGCCGTGTGGAACATCACGATGATGCCAAAGGTATTCTGTAACCCACAGACAAAATTTTGGCAAAAGCATTGCCTGTAGGGAAGGCAAATCCATAGAGGGTAATTGTCTATTCCAATAAGAAGAAAACACTGCTGCTTCAGGGATGGTAGCTGTCCAGTGTAATTGACTTGCCATAGATAGCTTCTATTCACCAAGGGAAATGGTATTCCATATGGGGAATCAGAGTTGTTCCTGCTGTTGGCAGCCTGACTACAACCAACTTGGCCTTGGAAAGCAAAAGTAAGTCCTTGTTGCTGAGCTCATGCAAAACCTCCAGCCATGGTACCATGACCACATATATCAGCAGCCCAGTGGGCAATAGGAAGAGTGGCTGGGGAAAGAGGATGTCTGGAATCTATAAAATTATGTACCCCATCCACTTCACTGTTAAAGTCTTCCTCTACTGAATTCACCCCTTTCCTGAAAGTTCCTTGTCACTAAATTACTATAATGTTCCTTCCAAATCCATTAGCAAATCCATTGGTCACAAGAATTGATATATAATTGCACATTTGGCCTTTTTCTCTAGAAGACAAGTTAACAGCCCACTCTCCTGCTTCAAATTCTGACTACTGGGAGGGTGCCATCCATCAGGATCATTCAGGGATGTCCCAGGAACAGAATGCAGTATGGCAGCTGTACACTTGTGCATGCTGTCTGCATATCATGTAGAACCATATGTCAATCGGGACCAGGATTTCTCTTTCTCTGTCACTTGGGCATAGGGATATGAGACCAAAGGTACAGATTGGGAGAGGAGGTAGTAGAGCAGCAGTGATAGGCATGGATGTCTGGGGTACTTCTTCATGTATTTGACTTCTGCCTTCAGAGCCTTCTCAGGCCTGAACTCATATACACCACTAGCTTGTAACACTGGAATGCTCCTATGTACACACAAGTTTACAACTTGTTGAGTCAGATAAATGTAGCACATGATGGACAGCTCAGATCATATGGTAACTTGGTTGCCAAGATTAACTGTTCAGTCTCAGTGGCAGAGGCTGCTAGTGGAAAGCCAATTTCAATTTCTCAAATGGAAAGAAGTTACCTGTGGATATAGCAGGGTTTTGCTCCAAAATCTTAAAGGACCTGCATATCAATTCACCTAGTGGGGCTGATAGAGGTTCTAGACAGCATCTGTACCTGCCACTGGCACAGCAGCCTGCATCTATTGTAGAGCTTTCTATTGTTCTGAGCCCAACTCAAAAGTAGGAGCTTTTCAGTTCACTCAGTAAATGGCCTAGAGTAGCACTGCCACATGAAGAATGTTCTGCCTCCAAAATTCAGAGACCTACTAGGCATTGTGCCTCCTTAATATTTATAGAAGGGGTCAGATGCAATGACTCCTCCCTCACTTTAGAAGGAATATCTTTCCATTACTCCTAACATTGGATTTCTATTTTAATGAGGTAGAAGACCCTAAATTTTGTCAAATATGTTTTTTTCCCCTGTAACATGCAAGTGTCTTACTACTTCTTAGGCCCTAGATCCAATCAGCATAATATCATCAATACAACAGAAAATCATGGCTTCTTCTGAAAGGGAAAGCAATTAAAACCCTAAGGGGATAGGTCAGAGAGTTTGTGCCTATAAATCAACCAACTCAGGGAGCTAAGGCAGGAGGATTGCAAGTTCAAGGTGAGCTTGGGTAATATAGCAAAACTTGTTGTCAAGAAAAAGATTCTTCTGAACCAAATTATGACACAGGTCTTAGGAGTTGATATCTTTTGGAATGAGATAGCAAATGTGCCCTCTTCACTAAAGTATCTCTGAAAGCAAAGAAGAAAACTCCTGTTCTTCCCAAATCCAAAGTCAAGGCTTTGAAGACCAGGAAAGCAGTACTGAAAGGCATCCAGAGTCACAAAACAAATAAATACAAGGGTTGGGGGTGTAGCTTAGAGGTAGAATGCAGGCTTAGTATGTGTAAAGCCTGGGTTTAATCCCTAGCACCAAGAAAGAAAGATCCACCCATGACCGATCTTCCAATGGACCCTTCATTGCTGCTCTGGAGGTAGCCCAAATATCCTATCTGAGGTACATGCTCAACTGCTCCTAATTGTGTTGCTTTGGATGTTGCCAACAGAATGTGGATCATTAAACTCCATCCAGCTGGATAATTCTAAATACAATTTTTTTCATCATAAAGGAGAGAGAGAGAGAGAGAGAGAGGGAGAGAGAAAGAGAGAGAGAGAGAGAGAGAGAGAGAGAGAGAGAGAGAGAGAGAGAATATATCTTCTGTCCTTGAGAGCTAAAGACAAACTGCTAATGTAGGCATTATGGACGACAATGGAGATAAAGCCATTTTCCAATCAGGTGTGGTGGTATGCACCTGTAATTCTAGAAACTCATGAGGTTTGAGGCCAGCCTCAACAACTTAGTGATCCCTTGTGTCAAAATAAAAAATAAAAAGGGCTGGGCATGTAGCTCATTGGTAAATAGTCCTTGGGTTGATTATTTAGCACCCCCCCCCCCAAAAAAAAAGGTGTTTTCTAGGTTAATAGCTGCATATCAGTTTCCAGGGGATGTGTTATTTTGCTCAAGCAATAAAACCACATCTGACATAGTAGTTGCGATTGGAAGGTGCCCCTTGTTAAGATTAAAACAATCCACTGTGATTCTTCAAATTCCTCTTTCTGCAGCAGAGGTCAGACAGTTGAGTTCAATGGGATTGGGGTAGCAATCACTAATCTTTGTAGTGTATCCAGGAGTGCAGTATTATTTGCCTAGATAGAGGCATTTCTAGCAGCTTCTGCTAGAAGGTGGTGCCTTCCCACCACAACAGCCCCCATTCTAACATCAATATGTCAACCTGGAGACCTTGCCTGTGGCTGAAATGGTTTACTGCATTACGCATTTAGGAACTGTGGGATAACCACAGAATGGGTTAATATTTTGGTCTACTTTGAAAAGAAACTGAGCTAAAACTCCATTGATTTTCTGATCTCTATAAATTCCTGTTTGTATCAGGGAGCCATAGTGATATTTAGTGTCTCTGGAAATGAGTGTCAATTTAGAGTCAATGTCCAATAGTAATAAAATATTTGATTATTTCCTTTTCCCCAATGCACAGTTTCCCTACTAATAGCACATAGGGTCCCTTGATGAAGGCTGGGAGTAAGATGAACTGTAGGAATTTTCAGTAGTGCACTGAAAGGGATTCTTCGTCGAGGAAGCTGACTTCCCTTCATTCTGGGGTTCTGGGTCTGTAAACTGGCTCAAGTCTGGCAGATGATGAAGGGACTGTGTCTTTGTTCTTATGAACCAAGGTAGATGTGTGTTCATTTGTCCCAGAAATGTTTATCTTATACACATGAAGTAAGAAATGAGTAGGCTTTGTAACTGTTTCACTTCTAGGAATATCAGGATAAGTGATACAAAGCTAATGCCATCAGGGCACCAGCCACACTACTCTGACTGTTGCTATGGCTGGTGTCCATTACAGAAGCCACATCTACCTTAAGGCCTTTGGCTACTGAGTGCCACCACTTGTCGACCTTAGAATCCAATTATGCTCATTATATTTAAGTTTTCACATTCAGAGACTGCAGTTTGTACTGTGCACTTCTGGCCTCATGGAAGCAGAGGAGGTCACAAATACTCCAAGATTCCACTTATAAAGTGTCTAAAGCAGTCACATTCTTAGAATCTTCAAAGAGAATGCTGGTTGCCAGGGCAGAAAGTGGGGAGGTTTTGTTGAAAGGACATAGTTTCCATTTTGCAAGATGGAAAAATACTAAAGATCTGATATACACCATGTGCTTATAGTTTAAGAGTATGTTATTATCTATTTAAATATGATTTTAATCATGGGTACAGTGGTGCCCACCTGTAATCCCAGTGACTTGGGATGCTAAGGCAGAAGGATTGCAAGTTCAAAGTCAACCTCAACATCTTAAGGAGACCCTGTTTCAAAACAAAAACAAAAAGACTACAGATGTTGCTCAATGGTAAAGCATCCCTGAGTTGAATTCCCAGTACCCAGTACCGCCCCCAAAAATAATTTCAATGGTTAACTTGGAGTTGCTACAATAGAAACATGAATCCTGATACTAATTTAGTTGTGTGTGTGTTTGCATGTTTGCTCCTGGGGATAGAGCCCAGGGATGCTCTCACTGATTATATCCCCAGCCCACTGCCTCTCACTGTTTTCTTTTTCTTTATTTTTTAATATTTTTTTAGTTGTTGATGGACTTTATTGTCTTTATTTTTATATGGTGCAGAGGATCGAACCCAGTGCCTCTTGCATGCTAGACAAGCACGCTACCACTGAGCCACAAGCCCAGCCCTCTCCCTGGGTTTTTGAGACAGAATTACACTACTTGCCCAGCTTAGCTTCAAAATTGTGATCTTCCTGCCCTAGCCTTCCAAGTAGCTGGTATGGTGTTTCTTCTCTCACAGAGACTCTGAATCTGATTTTGGAAACTCTGAGAAGAGAAATGTCCCTAGGGATAAAAAGTCATATTCTTCAAAATGGAGTGTCTTCTTCCCCACCACTCTGCATGCTTCAGCTGGACTGATGGTGGCAGATGCTGGTGTCTGATTCACACACATTCTGGGTCGCTTACTCACAATATCTCAGGCCATAAGCACCTGCCAGTCACTTTTTTCCCCCAGGCCAACTGACCCCTATTGCTCAGCATAAGGACACCTCAAAGTTCCAACCCTGTCCTGTCCATCAATGTGATTCTCTAGTTCATCACACTAGGGCTCCAACTCTTCAGGGCAGATGTGCTCCACAGCATCACCCTGGAAGCTTGACGCAAGCTGCAAGGTGCTGTTATGGTTCCTCTTCACCATCTGCTGATGATTCAGGACTTGTGAGCTCCTGAGCTATGGGGGAAGGGAAAAGTCAGTGTTCAAATGACTGCAGAATATGACATTTATTCCTCAGGACCTCTCCTTTCTCAGACTCTCCAAAATCAGATTCAGAGTTTGAGTGAGAGAAGAAAATGCCCCCACTAGTTTTCCTCACCAGCCTCCTCTCCTAAATCTACCAGCAGCCTCACCTGCCTCAGTTTCCACCATGCATCACTCAAGGGAATGAAAGACCAAAGAAGTAAGAGACAAGATCCCAAAGTGAAGCCCAGTGCCTCTCCTCTGCCCAACCATTCCTGACAGAAGAGGGACCTGCCATAGAAGGCAGTTCCTGCTCCTGCCAATCCTGGGCACAGGGTTCACACATAGGCCTTTACCCCTTTAATATCCAAGGCCTCCTCTGCTGCAGGGGCAGGTGCTCACCAAGCAGGGTCTGCTCCAGCTGCAGCTCAGCATCCTTTCCTCTCAGCCCTGAGCCAGAAGCTCCTAACTGGAAAGCCCACCAGGAAGCCCAGGGGCACCAGCAGGCCCAGCCAGGAAAACATGCCTGCCCTCTGGTCTGCTGCTCACCTGACCTGAAGCAGCCCACACACAGCAGAATCCCTGACCCCCAACACTTACTCAGGTCCCTAATCTGTACTTTACCCTCCTAGGGCCTACCTGGCCCATCTGCCCCAGGAAATCAGCTACTCTCCAAGGGGTTCTGCTTCCTGAGACTGCCTCACCTTTTTCCCCCCATCCGTAGCAGGGACTCACACAGGCCACAACCTTGGAGGTGTAGCTCAGTGGTAGAGCACCCCTGGGTAAATCCTCACTACTTCTAAAAGAAGAAGAAGGGAAAAAAGATGAGCTGAAAATGGAAATATTTTTATTGGGTATGAACATTTAGAGAAGAAATTTGGAAATATGAACATCTGATCTCCACTCTTTTCTACAAATGTTCCAGTGAAATTGCAGGCTGTGGGGAGCCACTCTGAATGAACACACCTTCAAGTCCTGACACAGGGGGCTCTGACCAATTACTACATTTCTTAGTGACTTTCATATTGTCCCAGCTGAGATAGCAAGGCATGGCTTCAGGTGTAGGTGTACCGCTGGGATTGAGTTATACTCACCTGCTGCCTTCTGCCTTTTTTGGATAGAACTTTCTCAAAAACAGCATCCCCCCAAATAAAAGCCCACTTCTGAATGTGCTTGTCCTCTCTCTCGCCAGCCTCTGTGACTTTCTCTTGCTCTCCTTTTGGGGAGCTTGAGACTGGGAGCTGGGGAAAGTTGTCCTGAAGCTTGTGTAAAGGTATTTCGTGTCTGTGCTTTATTTTGCGTCACCCCAAATTCACACGAGTGACCTTAGTTCACCGCCTGTGCTGGACAGGGGTGGCAGTAGGCAACTATTTTTCCCCACAGAGAACCAGAACTAGCTTTCACCCTACAGCAGAGGCTGCAGGTGAGAGCAGCAGAGAGCACTGAACCATCTGCCCTGGAGGGAGAGTTACCTGGACAGCTCCTGCTGGGGGGCAGGTTTCCCAGACCCAAGGGGCCAAACACTCACTACCCCCACTGCTGACCCCACAGAAGGGGCAGAAACAACAGAAAGATCCTCCAAACCAGTAACTAACTAACTTTGTTTCCTGCTGAAACACCAACTTCCTGTTTTCTCTTTTCCTGACCCTCCAGCAACCTGATTGGTGACAGGGGAATGGTTTTGACCATCCCTTACTCCAAATGCACAGGGGAATGACCATCTTATAAAGGGGAATAGCCAAGGGAGGGCAGGGTGAGCAGAGGCCATAGAGCACAGACTCAACACACCAACACACACAGTCCTTGGGGAGCGTGCCCTCTGGGGCTGGAAGGAAACCCTAAGTGTCACAGTCAGCTTTCACTACTTTGACAAAACACCTAAAGTAAAACACTCGGGAGGAAAAATTTACACTGGCTCAAGTTTCGCCAGTTTCATCCCAGGGTCCCTTGGCCCCATTCCTGTGGGCTAGAAAGGCAGAAAATAATGATGGCCAGCACATGACAGAGTGATACTTCTCACCTCATGGTGGTCATGTGGTGGCCAGGAAGCAGAGAAAGAGAGAGCCAGGAACCTGGGACAAGATGTTCCCTTCAAGGAATGCCTCTTCCAACTAGGCCCACCTGCTAAAGCTTGCACACCTTCCAGTAGGACCAACACCTGGGGCCAAGCCTGCAACTCATGAGCCTTTGGGAGATATTCCACATGGAAACTCTAACACCAGGTAGAACAAAAACGGACTACAGCTGCCCACAGTGGCTGGTCTCTCTCCCCAGATGGTCGGAGGCATCTGCTTTTTCATTTTTCCATAACATCTGTGAAGCCACTCCTGATGGACGACCATTGTGGTGGGGCCTGGGATGGAGTACATGCCCTAGTGACCCAGTGGACACACACAGGAGACATCCCTGAGGAGTGACTGGAGATGCTGATAAGATAGAAGATAACTACATGTGCTGAAGACCCCTGGGCCTGCTCTACATGGGCCTCCCAGGGCACTGGTGCCACAGGCCTCAAGGTTCTTCTTATTGGTTTGCACAGGACAGGTGGAAAGACAGGAAAGAGGCAGGCAGACAGGAAGAAACCAGAGGCAATAGCCTTTGTGGGATTTCTCTAGAGTTTCTAAAGAACACAAATCACAGATCCTTTTATACTTTGTCCGCCTGATACCGTGATAATCTAGCCCATGCAAATCAGCCCACCATTCCCAACTCCTGGTCAAGACCTAAAAGCTTGATACAGAGAGAGATGAGGACAGGGACAGAGCAGGAGAAAACCACACTGAAGCTCACCCCTAACCCTGTGACAAGAATATGGTGCAGCTGGGCCTTTGAGGATGTTCACGGCCCTTGGCTTTTGGCAGGACTAAGGGGAGTACCTGGAGACCTGGCTGCCGGCCCCTCACAAAAAAAGACACATCTATCCCAGTTCCAGAAGTCTGGTCACCTCCACTGCACTCTGTGCAGCATGAGGCATGAGGGACCCTACAACCCAGAATGACCCTGCCATCTCCATCCACTGCCCACTTTTCTTACCTGAACCCTCTGCGGCTGAAATTGTCTCCCTCCTGTTGCTCCAAAGCACATAAAGGAGAAGAAGAAGAAGAACAGCATCAACAGCAGCAACCACACCTAGAGAGGCTCGCCATCGGCTTTGAAGCAGCAGGGTCGGCCCCTAAAACACACATGTTACCATCTGGGTTCCCGAGCTTCTAGACTTCCTCCCTCTCACCACCCTGGTCACTGACCTACCCAGTTGGGAACCCCTGCTGGGACACCCAGGCTCACCACAGGGCACAGTGCCAGTGCTCTCTTTCCCACTATGTCGCACATGGCAGGTAAATCTCTGCTCCTGTCCTTGAGGAATCCTGGTGGACACGCAGGTCTGGTAGGTCCCATTCCCATATGGTAAAAGACTCCCAGATTGCTGTGTGTCCTGGTTCAGGGGTTCCCCATCCTGAAGCCAAGTCAGAGAGATAATCCAGGGATAGAACCCAAAAGCCCAACATGTGGCGTTGATGGTGTCCTCCAAGGCCTCACCGCAGATAACAGTCACTACTGGGGACACTAGAGAAGAAAAAGCAGAACCAGTCAGCCATGTGATCCAGCCTTACTCCCCTTAATGGAGGCAGAGGGAACAGGGCTGGTTCTTTCTGCTGTAGTGTCTCTGACCAAAGTCCTCACTGACACTAGACTGCTGCAAATCTGCTCTCAGCCGAGGGCCTCAGTCCTCTGACTGGCAGGAGGATGAGCCTCGGGTTTGTGGCCTCACATTCTCACTTACACATGTTGATGTGAGGAGGGGGTGTTATGGGGATTCCTTGTTTGTGAGGCCACAAGGGAGCTCTGCATGATAAGCAGGTTGGCAGGCAGGTGGGAAGAAGAGGTCTCAACTCCTGCCTAACCCCAGTTGCCTGAGGCTCAGGGTACTTCCTGGTTGTGGCCCAGACAGTCATAGATTGCCAAACCCTCCTGTCTTTATGCAGTGGTTTAAAAGGATGGGGAAATCAGAATACATCACCCTCACAGAGAACACACGCATCCCATAGTACAGAGAAGGCCCCTTATATTGAGGCTCTAGGGGAATGGGGGCTGGGGTACCTATTGTCTTATTGAAGGCTATCCAGGAGTTCAGATATCTCTGGAGTCTTCCACCAATTGTTCCTTGCACATGGGCCCATTGAGCCTTGCTTGGACTATCATCTGATTTCCAGTGCTTCTTGACTTCCATAGCCAAAGTCTGAGCCGAGGAAGGGTGCACTGTCCAGCTGTGAGTCACAGGGTGAAAGGAGAGGAAGGGCTCCTAATCATAGTAGAAATCCCAGAAGCCCCTGGTGCGGTTGTTCTTTTGCATCTCACAGCCCCAAGACTCCTGGAGGGAATGAGACCCTGCCCCCATCCACCAGTCACTTTAGCATCCCCTGGTGCCTCTGCCTCCCTTCCCACCAAGAGAAACTCCAGCCCACAGAGGATTCCAGCATGGCTCTCTCTCTCTTCAATGTCCCTGTGCTGAGCTCTATGGACCCCATGCTTGCCCTTCCCAGACAAATGCAGTGAGAAGAGAGGTCCCTGCTCTCTGCCCCCAGCCTTTCTGCAGAAAGACCCTTGCCCCCACCTACACTCACCTTCTTTCTGCCTCTGCAGACTGATAATATCTGCCAGAGTCATTCTGAGGATTTTCCCACTCCCTGCCAAGTCTTGGGTCTCTGTGTTCCAGGTCTCGGCTCTCAGGATTGTCTTTGCCCACAGTGCCTCATTCACAATCCCACTACCTCATTCACACCAAAGGAATGGGAATCCAAATTCCCTGGATTCCCTGCACTGTGTGTCCACTGTCATAGTGCAGGAAGGGCTTATCATCCAAAAGACCCTCAGAAAAGAACTGTCGTGCACTAAATGGTTCTGGGATCTCATTTTTAGGTTATAACGAAAACTGTGGGACCCTGAGGAAGAAGATACCAGGGATGATTTTTTTCTTCCTGGAGTCAAGAGCTCAAGAACATGCAAAACATAGTTTTGGCCTCCTGGTGACATAACTAAAAGCAAAAATAGACCATTGGAATAACATCAACCTAAAATATTCCTGCCTAGCAGAGAAGACAATTTATAGAGTGAAGAGACAACCCCTGGACTGGAAGAAAACAATCATAGGTCAGATAATGGTTTAATACACAAAATATACAAATAACCTTATATTTAACATGGGTAAAGACGTTGAAGAGACATCTGTCAAAATATGATACATAATTGGCCAACAGATATGTGAATGAATGCAAATGCCAATTAAAACCAAAAGGAACTATTTTTTCACACTTATTAGATTGGTCATTGTGAAGACACAAAGAGTGTTGGGAAGGAGGTAGAAAAAGGGGTGTGCACCACTGGTGTTGCAATTTAGTAGAGTTATTTTGGAGAATAGCATGGAGGTTCCTCCCAAAACTAAAATTTTTGCTTTATCCAGCAATCCCACTACCTCATTCACACCAAAGGAATGGGAATCCAGATTCCCTGGATTCCCTGCACTGTGTGTCCACTGCAGCATCAGTCACAACAGTCAAGATATAGCAGCAACCTAAGTGTCCACAAATAGATGAGTGGATTTAAAAACTGTCTTAAGCCACCTGGTGCACACCTAAAATCCCAGCTACTCAGAAAGCTGACACAAGAGGATTGCTTGAGCCTGGAGTTGGAGGCCACCCTGGGAAAAACAGCAGCCCACCCTCAAAAAGAACCCCCTCGCCAAAAACCAAACCAAACCAAACCAAATCATTATGGGATATACACACAAAAGAATATCAATTAGCCTTTTTAACAAAAGGAAATTAAGGATGAAAATGTAGCTTAGGGATAGAGGACTTGCCTAGCAGTCACAAGGCCTCAGATTTTATCACCAGAAACTTCTTAAAAAAAAAAAAAAAGCTAGGGAAATTTGTCATTTGTGACAATGTGGGTGGAAAGTAGAGGCCCATAAGAGAAATAAAAAAAAAACAAAAAAAACAAAAAAACAGGCATACAGAGACAAATGAATGGACAGAGAAAGGAGAGACACTGGTAAAAGGCCACAAAGTTTCATTTGGATAAGAGGAAGAGTCTGGTGTTCTATAGCACAACAAAGCTTCTCCACTTAATGCTGTATATTTTAAAATAACAAGAAGAAAAGATTTTAAATGTTCTGACCAAAAGGAAACCATAAATATTTGAGGTGATGGATATGCTAATTACCCCAAATTGATTATTCTAAAATGCATCCATAACATTACATCCCAGAAATAGATTCAACTATTTGTCAACAGAAAAATTTTTGGAGAGGAAATCGAACTAAACATCATTAAAAAAAAAAAAAAGTTGGGGCTCTGGAAAGTTTGGGTGAGGTAGAGAGGCAGCAGTGGATAAAACTTCTTGTAGGAAATGGCCCCTAAGAATAGGAGGAAAGGACTGGGGTTGGGGAGACAGGGTATCTAGTGTGCAGGAAGCACAGACCTAGGATGCAGTGTCTACCTTAGAAATGGGTCTGAAAACACAGCAGGAGTGGGGGAGGTGAGGGGAAGCCAACAGGCTGAGGAGACATGTTGGGTGACAGGGAAGGAGGCATAGAGATCTGGTGAAAACACAGGCATATTAGAAAATAGATAGCATATTAGGGTGAGAGGAGTACAAGGGGGGACAGCATCCCAGGGCGCAGGAGTCCAGGGGACAATGTGGGTGGAAATTAAAAAAGCCCCAGCAAGAAGATCTTGACTCAGCAATCTTAGCTGTTCACTTCCCTCAGTCTGAGTGTTTGATGCAGCCACAGTCCTCACAGAGGCAGGAAGGGCTCTATGGGGCTGGGACGTCCCTACTAGCTCAGGGCCAGAAGAAAAAAGGTCTCCTAACTGGGGACTCCTGTGAGCTCAGCTGAAAACAAGCCTATGACTGCGAGGAAAGCAGGGGCTTCAGGAGCCCGAACTGTCCGTAATACTGTTGGGAAGAGGTTCCGTGAGCCGCGGACCTCAAAGGGTCCTTCAATGTTTTTCAAAGGAGAAACTCAGCATGCACCTCGGGAATCCAGAGGCGACAGAGGACCGGGATGTCCAAAAGGGAAGAGCAAGGCGCAGGGCTGGGGCAAGTAAGCATGGATTTAGGACGCAGGACGTAGGGGTGGCAAGGTGCTTAGAAAGCGAAACTGCATGTGGTGGCAATGACCCGCGTCAGGTCCAGCTCCTCTCCCCACCAAACCAGACCGCTCATCTTAACCGGGAGGGTTCCCTCGGACTCTCACAGAAACCCGCCCGCCTCCCTGCAGTAGCCGGGCAGCTCCTGCACCTCCAGGAACCACATAGAGCTCACTCACCAGCGGCAGCACACAGGGGTGCCCAAAAGGCAGTTGTGGCCAGGAGCAGCAGGACGCGACACAGCCCAATAGAGACCAAACTTGACATCCTCTTATCTGGTGAGCAGGATGGAACTCTAAGAGGGTTCCCCGAAGGCAGATCATATATAGTTCTCCTGGCCCCTCCCACATCCACTCACCCAATGAAAATAGACGCCTTGAACATGAATGCAGATCTTCAGCCTACACTTGACCAGGACAGGTCTTCCAAGTGTCACCACTCCAGCATAAAAAACTATATTCATTTCACTTTGTCACCTCTAAAAAATGTTTTCTAAAAAACGAACTATAGCTATTCTTACTATTGCCTAAGGCTCTAGCTTGTGCTTTTTCTGTGAGTGGAAATGTCATGCACCAACAAAGTTTTGACAATTTCTTAGACTTATTTTCATTTGTAGTAAGTATTTGATTGAGATTTTTTTTTTTTTTTAAAGCACAGAAGGCACTGGCGTCCAGTCCCATTCTGAGTTTATTTTCATTAGTTACAGGGGCGGGGATGATGTTAAGTTGGAGATCCCTCGCTTTCCTGGTTCATCAGCTGATAGGTGGCATAAAGTGGACACCTCTGCCTCCATAATCAAGTAAACAAGTCCTCATAATAAATCCCCTCTTATTGACCCCCACTTGCTTCTGGTTGATTCTGTTTCTCTGGAAAACATTGACTAATATAAGCCTCCAGTAAGTGCTGGGTCACAGTTATTGTGAGCTGATCCCAAGCCCTTTCAATCTCTATGTTTTCTATGCATCTTTGAGGACTCACTTGGAGTGACAGCTCCAACAAACTGTCTCATTCCACCCATATTCAAAGACTTTTCTTACCTTAATAATTACATGCTAGGATTATTCCAGAGCATTTACATATGGCTCAAGGGAGAAGAAGCCTCAGAGGAGGCCCTGAAGGTCTTGGGCTCCAGATGTTGGGCAGTGCCCAGGATCAAAGCCTGGCTGCCCCTCCCCCAGCAAGCCTCCCAGATTCTCATCTGTGCAAGATACTGCTACCTTGTCCCTCCCCCTTCAGACTCTTCTGCTCTGCCCAATGAACTACTGCTTCTCTCCCCCTCTCTTCTTTGCATCTCTGAATTCATAAGAACGGGAGCGACTTACTCCTCACCCACCTTAGGATTCACTGCTGAGTCCTGAAAAGCAACAGAAATCACTCAGTGGTGTCCTTTAAACCCAGGGCGGGTCTCACGCACTATTTCAGGTCTTTGTGGCCACATTTACCCAGAAGGACTGAAGATCACCTGTTACCCACACTGGCTTAACTAAAATAAAACCTGTTGATTGATGTACAAGCAGATTGAAGGTGCTTATGGGAGTCTGGAGGAAGGCAAGCTGCATTTGGGTTTGGGGTTCTCAGACTGCTAGGCAGATACACCTGCGAGCTGTGAGAATGTAGACCCAGTGGCTGGCGGAAGGACGTTCTGAAGTGTTAATCAAGATCTGAAACCCAGCATACTTCAGCCAACATTGCCTGTATTTTGATGCGGTTGGGTACTGAAATGCTTTTTCCATCCCATCCCCCACTTCCACAGGGAGAGCAGGTGGGGGGGCATCTTGGGTTCTAGGATCAGAAACACTCCTCTGCTTGGTGGCCCACCAAGAATGTAAGTGCCTACCTCAGGATGGTCCTAATTGAAACCTGCCAGATCTGGAATAAAAATCAACAATCATGTTGCAGTGAGGCCACCCAGCGCCCACCACTTATACAAGCTGGGTGAGGAGCCCTGCTTTATCAGGTCTGTCTCAAGTGGATGCAGTGAAGTGCCTTTGGCTCCAGATTCCAAACCATAAAGGATGAAATGGAGAGTGAAGAAAAGCAAATGGTGGTGGAACGTGGATCATGTGTTGAAGAAAGAAAGAAAAAGGGGTGAGGATTGGGGAAAATAACATGAATATAGGAAGAAGAAGCAAGGACAAAGCAGGAAAGAGCAAGAGATGCAGAACTGAGGGGACTGCAGGCTCTGCTCTCTTCTGCCTTCCCCTAGGATTGGGCTCTGCTGTCCACTTAAGACCCCAGAGGAGGACCAAGACTCTACAACACCCACTGCAGAGAAAGCTACAGTTTTTCTACATTGATTATATTTAAAACCAAACTAGATCCAATGTAAAACAAATGAAAGAAATGAAATACAATAATATTCTGATGTTTTTCCATGATTAAAAATCCAACAGATTTTTAAAATATCATCTTTAAAGTGTATTTGGCAGTCCAGAGTGTATCTCAGTGGTAGAGTACCTGCTTGGCTTGTGCCAAGCTATGGAAAGCAACAAACATGAGACAAAAACAAAATACCCACCAAATGTTTCAAACATGGAGACTCTTCCTACTATTCAGAGCAAGTATTTACAAAACTCTTTGATTTTATTTCTTGCGCTATAGGAGTCTTATTAAGGAAGTTGAGGCCTAATCCAACATGATGGAGATTAGGGCCTACTTTTTCTTCTATTAGATGTAGAGTCTCTGGTTTAATTTATAGGTCCTTGATCCACTTTGTGTTGAGTTTTGTGCATGGTGAGAGATAGGGGTTTAATTTCATTTTTTTGCATATGGATTTCTAGTTTTCCCAGCACCATTTGTTGAAGATGCTATCTTTTCTCCAATGCATGTTTTTGGCACCTTTGTCTAATATAAGATAATTGTAATTTTGTGGGTTAGTCTCTGTGTCCTCTATTCTGTACCATTGGTCTACCAGTCTGTTTTGGTGCCAATACCATGCTGTTTTTGTTACTATTGCTCTGTAGTATAGCTTAAGGTCTGGTATAGTGATGCCACCTAATTCACTTTTAGGCCCAAATTTCTTAATAAGACTCCTATAGTGCAAGAATTAAAGCCAAGATTCAACAAACGGAATGGAATCAAACTAAAAAGTTTCTTCTCAGCAAAAGAAACAATCTGTAAGGTGAACAGAGAGCCTACATCCTGGGAGCAAATTTTCACCCCTCATACATCAGACAGAGCCCTAATCTCTAGGGTATATAAAGAACTCAAAAATCTAAGCACCAAAAAAACAAATAACCCAATCAACAAATGGGCCAAGGACCTGAATAGATACTTCTCAGAAGAGGATTTTTAATCAATCAACAAATATGTTGAATATGTCATCACCTCTAGCAATTAGAGAAATGCAAATCAAAACTACTCTAAGATATCATCTCACTCCAGTCAAAATGGCAGCTATTATGAAGACAAACAACAATAAGTGTTGGCAAGGATGTAGGAAAAAAGGTACACTCATACATTGCTGGTGGGACTGCAAATTGGTACAGCCAATATGGAAAGCAGTATGAAGATTCCTTGTAAATCTGGGAATGGAACCACCATTTGACCTAGCTATCCCTCTCCTCCATCTATACCCAATAGACTTAAAAACAGCACACTACAGGGACACAGCCACATCAATGTTTATAGCAGCATAATTCACAATAGCTAAACTGTGGAGCCAACTTATATGCCCTTCAGTGGATGAATGGATAAAAAAAATGTGGCATATATACACAATGGAATTTTATTCATCAATAAAAGAGAACAAAATCATGGCATTTGCAGGTAAATGGATGATGTTGGAGAAGATAATGCTAAGTGAAGTTAGCCAATCCCCAAAAAACAAATGACTAATGTTTTCTCTTATATAAGGAGGCTGACTCATAGTGGGTAGGGAGGGGGAGCATGGGAGGAATAGATTGAATTCTAGATAGGACAGAGGGATGGGAGGGAAATGGAGGGGCAGTGGAATAGCAAGGATTTTGGAATGTGAATCATTATTCACAGTACATGTATAAAGACAGGAATTGGTATCAATATACTTTATATACAACCAGAGATATGAAAATTGTGCTGTATATGTGCAATTAGAATTGTAATGTATTCTGCTGTGTTTTTTTTTTGAAAAATCAAGTTAATCAAGTTTGACTTCAAATTAAGTATCTGATGTCATCAAAATACAATAAATGAATCAAATAAATGATTGACAATACTAAACTATAATAATATATCTCTTTCTTTCTTGAAATAGCCAGAACTAGAGCAAGTCTAATCAGTACCATAATGAGTATAACAAGAGCGTTGAGCTCCCTGCAATACTGCAATGAGCTGTATAAACAGCTGTGAACTTAAGGTCAAATAGGAGATATGGATGCTTCGACCCTGATTTTCTGCTACTGTTCCTAAGTGGGAACAGAAAATGCCAATTTCTACAGCAGGCAAATGTGTATTTTATTATTTTTAACTTTCAGTTTTGCACTCTGCTTACTTTCATCTTTTATTGACATTTTAAAAGAGCTGTTTTCTCTAACCCCCATATCTAAATATAGGGCTGTTTTTGTAATGACAGCACCTGTCAGTATAAGTTTCAGATAGCCTGGCCTTTTAAATACAGATGTGTCAGGATCTATGAATAAAGGGTTTGCTTTATTCATTTATTCATTCATTACATAGCCAAAGTACAAATTTTGAAGAGAAATTATCTATTGAGCCACACTTTATCTAAAATAAAATGTATCTATTTGAAATGTACAGTTCATTCAATTTGGGCACTGACATACACTTGTGTCACCACCACCATAAAGAAGATGAAGAATATTCTGATTATCCCCCAAAGAAACGTTGTGCAATAAAATTCTATGCAGCCATCAAAAAGAATAAGTTTTAATGCACTGCTGTAAAAAGAGGTGCCCAAAAGAGGTGCCCAACAGTTTTGAGCTTTTTTTTTTTTTAGGTTAGGAAAATGCTAGATTTTAATGCCACTAGTGCAATTACATAATGTACATTTTTTAATAGTGGGGAAACCTGGAAGATTTTGCCCCAAATTTTGACAGTGTTACTTCTAGGAACAGGTAAAACTCAGTGTCTGTCACTTTCTCTGAAATGTTGGAATTGTGTCTTCTCATATAAACTTGGTTTAGCAAGGTGTCAGAATATTACAGATTGAAAATACAATAAGCTAAACCCCAGATTCAAATACTAATTTTTTAAACCAAAATATTAATTACAGTCCATCACCAGGAAATCCCTTAAGATAAGCCTTCATATTTTCATAGCTTTGAATCTTCCCCAAACTGCTT